TTCAAAAGTCAGACACGTCGCAACAGAGAGGGGGGGGTGCCCCTTTTTTTCCCAACACTACTTTTACTATTGAAAATGTTCCTTGAAATACTGGTTGGCCTCCCCACTGTTTACTAAAGTAAAGTAATATGAAAGAAATTAGTATTATATGCCAAAAATAGGTATTGAAAGGAATTGGCTTAAAAAAATAATTGCCACCCCCCCTCCACCCCCAAGGGGATTTCTGAATTTATTTTCAGTTATTCTTCACTTTTCTCTATTTAGTGTTTATCAAACGGTAAACAGTCAAATTTCTACCCGGCCATCAGAAAACAGATTACACTGTTCAAGAACATTACATTTCAAGAAATTCCTCACATTTGTCAAAACATTTAAGCACGCCCTGGGTCCAAATGAAAGAATTTGAATACATTGAGCACGTCGTTCACTTATGACGTCACTATGAAATTACGTAGATCGCTTATGACTAAACAATGAATTTATGGTCACATGACGAACATGTTTTACCGAGATGTAAAAGCACCTTGTTCAAATAGTGCTAAACAAACATTTGCAAATGTAAATATCTGTAAGAAGACCCTTATCGTGTACAGTCAGTAAATGTGAAAAAGATCTAGCAGCTACGAGGGGCATTTCAAAAGTTCTGAGAACTATTAAATAAAAAATTAACCGTTTCACGGAAATTATTGAGTTTGATATCATTGGAAAGATCAGAAAAATATACACATATTGTGACGTCACTTTATAATTTTATGACGTAATATCTCCGAAAATGACGTCAAACTTCCGCATGCTTACGATACTGGCCATAAAAATGACGTAACAAAAGACACAATTTGATCAAATTGAAATTTTAAAAACAACTTTTGCTCATTACTCGGGCGCAAGCTATCGGACGCAAATGCCAGTTGGTGGAATGTTTACATAGACTTCAATCTATCATTTGGTGTTCTTTTTCGCAGATTTCCTTGTTCTGAAATGGTTTAAGCGATTGTCAAACATCGCATGTTTCTATCGAATCTCGTTCAAAATATTGCGTTAAACAGGCCTAATTGCGAGGAAAAGGCAAAGTTGACAATCAAAGAAATATAGACGATCGTGTTACAAAATTTGATGGCATAAATTCGTCAGGTGTTTTAACCAGATTTGAGGGATCGATGAAGGCTCAAAAGAAGTTAAGTTTAGTGTGCTCCATATTTTCTCTCAAAATCCAAAATGGCGCGGGCGCAGTTGTAACCCCACCGTGCCTCCAAATATTCGCAAATTTTAATACATGGAAATAAAATAAGATTTTACATGTATGTGTAACTTATAAACCTTTTTTGGAGTCAAAAGCAGTAGTGAGTTCTTGGGCGCTGATTTTGAATTAATTAGAAAAAATACGCACAGAAACAAGTCAGGGGCAAGACTTTTGTACATTTTATTTGTAAACGGTAAGAGTTCTGTTATTCAAAATATATTTGTTGAAAACTGCATTAATATACTTCAGTTTTATACAGAACATGTTTTATTTCATACAGTGGAGAGCTTTATAAACGACCGAAAATCCAGTCGTATCATGTAACTTAAAATCTTAAATGAGTGTTGATGATAGTGTTACATTAAAAGTTTAAATCTAAAGTTTAAACTTATCTATAACTATCTAGATAGTTATAGATAAGTTTAAACTTTAGATTTAAACTTTTAATGTAACAATAGCATAACCGGGCATAAACCGTGCTAGTAAACAAACCATACAATGAAATATGGAATTCTGGATAAACGGTACCGTAGTCCTACTCTACTTCTTTGCAAATGAAAATTTCTTTGAAATATTTTTTTCAAATAAGCCTTTGGCAGAACTTTTAAAATTGTCTAATGTGGATAAAAACGCGACTTTTCAGTATGCTGAACATTCTATACTCTGACATCATTTTCGGAGATATTACGTCATAAAAATTACAAAGTGACGTCACAATATGTGTATATTTCTGATCTTTCCAATGATATCAAACTCGATAATTTCCGTGAAACGGTTATCTTTTTATTTGACAGTTCTAAGAACTTTTGAAATGCCCCTCGTATATTCTGTGATTAAAAAAAATAAATTGAAGTTCATTTGGATATTTCAAGTCAACAGATGAACGGAAGTAACTGTTGTTAATCGATAAAACGTCGTCGATATATGATATCTAAATGTCGAATTTGTTTACAAAGCAAGTATTTCCTTTTTCTCATGCAGAGAATTTTTTAATAAATTACAAGTATACCTCAAAGGAATATAAAAACAAGTTGGCTCATAAAGAAGCACAATTTGTGCCCATTTGTATTTCAACAGGTTATTGGAAGAAGTTGTATACGAACAGTACATAAAGGTTGCCATTAGGAACCCGTGCTAAAATTAAATATATCTATATAGTCACCTTGCAAGAGATATAATATTAATAATAAACATTAAAGAAGTAATAATTCGCACTTGATAAGGGGAAGATAATTTTTCTAGGAAAACGTTGTTTTATCCTGTGGAAAAGAACATCCATGTATATGCATGATTATATGAACTTAATTTTTCATGAGGTGATCATTTTCAAAGCGAACGGATATCAAAACTAATGATGCTCAAAACAGCCAGTAGCAGAGCTTATGTTCAATTGTGGGTGGTAATGTTCTTTTTGTTTTAATTATTAATACATGAAATATTTGTAAAATGCTGTAAATGATAATCGATACCAAGTAGTATAGACTCAACTGAAAATAAAAAAAAAATCATTTTAAAGTGCAGCTCTTGATGTAAAAGCATCCATATATCACTAGGTGATGTTGCAAAAATTAAAGAAAAATAGTCTGTAATTTAAAAAAATGCACAATAAACTTATGAATTTCTAAACACTACGCTGCCCAATAACACATGAATTTGTAATACATGTAGTCGTTTTCCCTGAACAAATCAATTTTCAGTCAATGAACATTTTTGCTTCACCAAAAGAAAGTGTATGTAAAATTATGTTTAATCATGCTTTTCTTAAGAAGATCACTTTTAGTGGACACAGTTTTCTGTTTAATTTCTTTTTGTAAAAATGTCAGCTGCATTACGAATTTGACCACTCCGAACACTCGTTTAACGGGACACGTTGTCGACAAAATATCGCCAATCGGATTGCAGATGTGTTTGAAAGAGTGCTTGGCTAGATCTGTTTGTGCATCCTTGAATTTCTACCGAAAACAATTAGAATGTGAACTTTCCTCATCAACTGGCGATTTACATCCTACAGATATAGTCCAGGACCCGGAATATGTGTATGTTGAGATGACCAAAGCATCAAAGGTATAATGTTAACACATTATTTTTTCCTTCAATGTTTGTTAGTTCGAGAATTAATGTTTCAGCTGTTGCAGCAACTGAATGAACCGCGATTTGATTTTTTTTTTCTGCAAAAGCTGCAACGTTAATTCCCATACCAAAGAAAAGAAAGACGTTATTATTTCATTACCCCCCCCCCGCTTCCGACGCCCAAGTATTGAAATTTACATCTGCATTAATAATCATTAAGATTTAGATATTAGTTCATCCATTTACTTCGCCACTGTTATCATAAAAAAATCGAAAATCTCTAGTCTCTACCATGAAAATTGCATTTTCAGAGATATGTTGAGGAATGCAGTGAACCGTGTTCTTCCGAGAGTAAATGCGTGATAACAGCTTCGGGTCCAGCCTGCGTCAAGTCAGGTTTGATATTGAGGATAGCATATTCATGTTAAAGCCAACTATAAATTATATTTATTTGCTTTCTTCTGGCTCGGGATGAAAAAAATATAGCCAATGCAGTACGTAGGTTTGAGGGAATTTTTTTCTATAAAAATTCAACATCAGTGCAGAGTTTTCAAAATTTTACTGGAGGTTCAAATATTAGGTTTTGAGTAGGGATATTTTAGCCAATTCGTCGAAAGTGGGCAAACATTTTTTTTTAAAGTGGTCTTATGGGCAAAAGTCAACTTGGAAAGTAAATAATGTAATATGATTATCTGATTAATTTTTTATTTGATAGATTGTCCTTGCCTTCACCCAGATAGGGGTAATACTTCTGTAGTTGTGACCTCCACCGCTGTAGGGACGGTTCTGAATTATCACTGCACGACACCCACAAACGTAAACGTGTCCCTGACTTCTACTTGTCTCCCCAACGGAACATGGACATCCCAACAAGAACTCTGCTCAATGGCTAAAGGTAATTATAAGAGGAAAGAGAGAGAATATATACAGTCACATGTACATACATGTAGGCAATAATTCATGAATATATGCCCCATGAAAAGTAACTGAGTACGTGTAATGTCTTACATTCAATTATCTTACTATATAAGACCCTTAATATGAATTTGTGTTTTGGAGGGTTAAATGAAATTTTGTTCAAAGATTTTATAATATGAATTGATTGTGAACAAAGACATCAATATCATTTACGAAACACATTTCAGATTGCTTTAGTATTTCCTCGTTATGTTGGTATCAATATTTTTGTAATTTTGATTTAATTGAAGCTTATAAATAGTTTTTCAAAGCAAATATGAACAACAGAAGCTAATTAACTTTATTTTTTTCAGTCATTGAAATCCATGTAGTTCTTTAAAATTTTGCAACAAAAAATCCTGACATCGAAGTTGCAGCTGTGAAATATGACAGCCCTGGTACTAACCGTTCAAAAGTTATGGCCAAGGTTCAAACTTTTACAAAATAGTCAAACTCGAAAGTCAAGGTCAAAAGTTAAAAAAAATATTCCATTTGAAAAAAAGTCTTGTCACGATAAATACTGAGTATGTGAAGTATATGAAATCCCTAGCACCAACTGTTCAAAAGTCAGGCACGTCGCAACAGAGAGGGGGGGGGGGCTGCCCCCTTTTTTCCCAACACTACTTTTACTATATAAAACGTTCAATCATTGAAATACTGGTTGGCCTTCCCATTGTTTACTAAAGTAAAGTAATATGAAGGAAATGTAGTATTATATGCCAAAAATAGGTATTGAAGGGAATTGGCTTAAAAAATGCTACTTACCCTCCACCCCCACCCCCCAGGGGATTTCTGAATTTATTTTCAGTTATTCTTCACTTATCTCTGTTTTATCAAAGGGTAAACAGTCAAATTTCTTTCTGGCCATCAGAAAAAAGAAAACAGATTACACTGTTCAAGAACATTACATTTCAAGAAATTCTTCACATTTGTCAAAACATTTATAAGGACGCCCTGGGTTCAAATGAAAGAAGTAAAGATAAATACAGTGAACGATCTAAAAAAATTTAGAAACAATACACATCTGTGAAACACATTTGTGAACAAAGCACGAAAATAGACCTCAGGAATTTCCAGGGTGTTATCAAAAGCCTAGGAGAAGTAAGAATTGCCTTTGACCTGCCAATGATATGAGCCCTACATGTACTGCATGTACATATAAAACACATCAGTCACAATACGCCCCAATTATAGGTTATCTTTGCTAACAGGGTCTTTATAACGTCCAAAGAATTTACAAACGAGTTTGTTGAATTCCCTGTAACATCACAGGCACCTGAAGTATAGATAATACTCCCCCCCCCCCTTTTCTTAATGGAAAAAAAATGTAAGAGTGTATAATACCTCGAAAATATAAAATTTCTCCGTCAAACACATCTATATGTCGTTATATGCAAGCAGATTGTACTTTTTCTTTAGTGTATTTTTATTATACCGAATAGGGCCATTATGATGAGCAAGAGTGCCTCTACCAAAATTGTGAATTTAATGGCCCCAGGGTCAGGGGTTCTGGTGTTAGGGCGGGGCTCTATTGATTATATAGTGAAAATACATGAATTCTTTGAAAATCTTCTTTTCTGCTCCGAGGTATAAAATAAACTAACTAAGTGCATAGTTATGATGTGCAATAGTGCCTCTACCAAAATTGTGAATTTTATGGCCCCAGGGTCAGGGATTCTGGTGTTAGGGCAGGGCTCTATTGATTAAATAGTGAAAATACATTAAATCTTTGAAAATCTTCTTCTCTGCTCCTGGGTATTAAATAAACTTACTAAGTGCATAGTTATGATGAGCAAGAGTGCCTCTACCAAAATTGTGAATTTTATGGCCCCAGGGTCAGGGGTTCTGGTGTTAAGAGGGGGGGGGGCTCTATCGGTTATATAGTGAAAATACATGAATTCCTTGAAAATCTTCTTCTCTGCTCCTGGGTATTAAATAAACTAACTAAATGCATAGTTTTGATGAACAAGAGTGCCTCTACCAAAATTGTGAATTTTATGGCCCCAGGGTCAGGGATTCTGGTGTTAGGGCGGGGCTCTATTAATTATATCGTGATAATACATTAAATCTTTGAAAAAATTCTTCTCTGCTCCTAGGTATTAAATAAACTTACTAAGTGCATAGTTATGATGAGAAAGAGTGCCTCTACCAAAATTATGAATTTTATGGCCCCAGGGTCAGGGGTTCTGGTGTTAGGGCGGGGCTCTTTTGATTATATAGTGAAAATACATTAAATCTTTGAAAAATTTCTTCTTTGCTCCTAGGTATTAAGCAGATGAACTACCTATATAGTTATGATGAGCAAGAATGCCTCTTTAAAAATTATAAATTTTATGGCCCCAGGGTCAGGGATTCCGGTGTTAGGGCGGGGCTCTATTGATTATATAGTGCAAGTACATTAAATCTTTGAAAATTTTCTTCTTTGCTCCTGGGTATTAAGCAGATGAACTCTCGATACCTCGAAGTCCGCGGGACCGAGAGAAAACTTCGAGAGATCAAGAGTTCGAGATTTCAAGAGTCCGGAATTTTCCGGGTTTGTTGACCGGTTTTGAAATTAGTCTTACCGGATGTAATAATTTTCATGCAGTGCTAACATTTTACACGTGGTGTTTATAAAACAACGGTATGTTTTCGTATTGTAGATAAATATTTATTAAATTGAGTAAATAAAATATGTACTTCTTCACTTCATGTTTATTTATTTATTTTTTTATACGTACGTCAAACTACGCATTCGTTAAATGAAAACGACATTTTACCACGTCGTACACAGCATTGACTACTTCAAACATGATCATTAAACGTTGAACGAAGTTCTGTAAGTATTTGTGCAACAACAGTCATAATATTGACATTGAGGCTGTTTCTGCTTTTTCATATTTCGTTAAACTGACTCGAAATATAAATAAAAATTAAATTATTTAGTTTTTCGTCTTGTATTAAATTTACTATTTTTCATTGACACCGTTTCTCCGAATTATCGTAAGACAGTTGATAATAATTATTTTAAAAGCATATAACGTTAGACAACATATGATTAATTATAAATCAATTTATCACCTAGCAGTGTAAGTGTCACCTGAATAAACATCCCGTTTCTCGAGACCCGCGTCTTCTTCCTGGGGCCATTTTAATGTCCAGGTAAAGTCGCTAATTATGTAACATTGTATACACATAGCCACTTCGAGGTTTCAAGGGTAAATTCCAATAGAATATGCATAGCGGGACTGCATTTTGACTTCGAGGGATCAAGGGTTTCGAGAGATCAAGAGTTCGAGAAATTAAGAGTAAATTTGCTTAGTTATATAGGGAAAAAATCGGGACCGGAGACTCACTTCGAGCGATCAAGAACTTCGAGAGTTCGAAGTTCGAGCCATCAAGAGTTACCTGTATATAGTTATGATAATCCTCCAGAATTGTGAATTTCAAGGCCCCAGGGTCAGGGGTTCCATTGAGGGGGGGTATGTATATACTGAAAATATAATATATAATCAATTGTTTGAAACCTGCTCCTTGGTATTAATCAAATATTTTTGAAAAGCAAGAATGCCTGTACAAAAATTGTGCAATGTGTGGATCTAGGCCTAAGGGTCAGGGGTTCATGTGTGGTAGGGACACTACTGATTATTGCTGAATATTACTGATTAGTTGAAATGCATTTTTTGTTCCCCTACCCTGCCTATGGGTATTAAGTAACTAAACTAAGTAACAGCTAAGTGTATAGTTATGATGACCAATGGACTTCCAGCTCTTTCAAAATTGTGAATGCCATAGCATCTGGCTTAAAATATGAATCAAATTCAATCACTGGAAAGTTGTTGCATAATGCTCAGGTGACCTATAAGGCCCATGGGCCTCTTGTTTCAATGGGTGGCACTGTAGCTCTCCGGTTTATCAATATATTTTTTCGGAGAGCTACATACAGATCTGCAGCTGGTTGGTCACGTGATCAAATCCCATGAAGCCCGAAGGGCTTTATGGAAGATTTGATTATGTGCCAACCCGTTTTACATAACAATAAAACTCAAAAAATGATACCTTATTACTTATATATACATTTGTGACTGATTTATTAAAAATAGTTAAAGGCACTGAAGTTTAAAATCCATAAAAGATTAATAATTTTCAAAACTCAATGGTATAATTTGAATACGTTGAACACGTCGTTCACTTATGACGTCTCTATGAAATTACGTAGATCGCTTATGACTAAACAATCAATTTATGGTCACATGACGAACATGTTTTACCGAGATGTAAAAACACCTTGTTCAAATAGTGTTATATAAGAACAAACATTTGCAAATGTAAATATCTGTAAGAAGACCCTAGTCATGTACAGTCAGTAAATGTGAAACAGATCTAGCAGCTATATTCTGTGATTTAAAAAAAATAGGAATTGAAGTTCATTTGGATATTTCAAGTCAACATATGAACGGAAGTAACTGTTGTTAATTGATAAAACGTCGTCGATATATGATATCTAAATGTCGAATTTGTTTACACAGCAAGTATTTCCTTTTTCTCATGCAGAAAAAATTTTAATAATTACATGTATACCTCAAAGAAATATAAAAACAAGTTGGCTCATAAAGAAGCACAATTTGTGCCCATTTGTATTTCAACGGGTTATAGGAAGACGTTGTTTCCGAAAAGTACATAAAGATTGTCATTAGGAACCCGTGCTAAAGTTAAATATATCTATATACTCACCTTGCAAGAGATATAATATTAATAATAAACATTAAAGAAGTAATAATTCGCACTTGATAAGGGGAAGATAATTTTTCTAGGAAAATGTAGTTTTATCCTGTGGAAAAGAACATCCATGTATATGCATAATTATATGAACTTAATTTTTCATGAGATGATCATTTTCAAAGCCAACGGATATCAGAACTAATGATGCTCAAAACAGTCAGTAGCAGAGGTAATGTTCAACTGTGGGTGGTAATGTTCTTTTTGTTTTAATTATTAATACATGAAATATTTGTAAAATGTTGTAAATGATCATCGATACCAAATAGTATATCCTCAATTGAAAATAAAAAAAATATCATTTTATAATGCAGTTCTTGATGTGAAAACATCATTATATCACTGGGTGATGTTGCAAAAAATTAAAAATATAGTCTAATAAATAAAATATATTCTCTCCACATCAAAGGAAGTAGCCGAGATCACGTCTCTCCCACGCTAAAGTCGGTCAACTGCAATACACATCGCCGACGTTTAACGGATTTACAAAAGGGGACAGAAAACACAAATCTTATTATAAACAGTTAAAAAGAGCATTATTTATTTTATATGCATTTTTAGAGTCCATAATAAATTAAAACCGTGAAAATATAATTTTATAGCATTTACCATATTTAAAGTTCTCGACAAGCAAAGCGTCAGCTCGTCACAAACAATGTAATCCTTTAGCTATTTTTCAAAAAGCTCTATTCTGCTGAAAACGCCATTCAGTAGATGGCAACAGCCATCTTTTTCTTAACACAGATGGATCTTCTATAGACTTTAGGACCGAGGCGAAGACATTTTCAAATTTTTAACAATGATTTTAATTTTCATTTTTTCATGTGTAAATTTTTCCTAAAAGTTATTAAGTTTGCTTTTTTCCGTATCAAAAATATAAATAGATCGGATTTCCCCCTTCTTACTTTGAGGAACATTCAAAAGTTAATTTTATACCCAAATTGTAAAAAATAACATTTTTTCTATACAAATCCACAATTTTGAATCTGTAATCTCCTTATTTTATATGAAAAGATAAGGATTTACTTACAGTACATAAATCTCGTCTGAACGCATGCATCGCAAATTAACTTTTACTTACGAGTGTATATTTACTCATATGTAAATTTGCACACATAAGCAAATTTTCGTCGTATGAATGTGGTATTAGATCGTGAGTAATTTAGGTCAAAGCAGTTTGACAATGATTTACCAGTAGACTGGAAATGCATCCATCTAGTTATGGTGAGCGTAATATTTTGAAATACATGTAAATACATCATTTCAATTTTTAGTCTCGTTATTTGTATAAATATAATTTGATAGACCTATATTAAAGTCATTCGTAATTTGCAACAGAGTCAGATAGGCATGCTGCTATTTCAAACAAAATTCGTATTTTATGTATTGTGCTTTACCCTGAGCCAGGGGAGAAACATAATGTTAGCAGGAGATGATGCCACTCAAAATATAGAAAACTTTGCATTTGACCTAAAGCTCAGCATTGGAAGTGGCTATAGTTTCGGTATAGTATTTTTATGTCTGTTTATGTTGTATTTTATTTAATTTTCCTTTTATAATTTACTTTCATGATAATAATTAATCTATATTAATCTTGATTAATTTATGATATAATCGTGAAATTTTATTTTCAGTTTCTGATAATGAACTTTCCAGTTCAACTAAATGTGAGTATAAATTTGAGTTAATAAAAAGACTTTATTAAGTCTATTTGTTTTTAATTTTCTCATTATATTTAGAAATATCGTTGTGTTCTTTGAATTTTATTTCTTAAAAAAAAGGCATGGACAATTTAATGTTAGTTCAAATTGATGTAGGAAATGAAACCTCTACTTTAACGCTAACAGTGAATGTATTTTTTTTCCCTAGTTTCCAACACAGAACCAGTCATAAAATTTAAGTCTTTTAAAATACATGTACATGTATGTTTGTAAAGAGTGAGAAAATATTTTTCTCCTCGTATTATTTCTGTCTTTCACAAGAGATACCATAAATTTATAATTATCACAAATCTTTATAAAAAAAAATATGTAAAACTATTTATAGACGTACAGGACGGGGATTGGACTCTTGCTTTCAAAGCCCAGAGTCTGACAGGAATTTCACCCTATGAAATCTACAAGTCACAGGGAGTTCGGCACGAAGTCAGGGGTTCATTTCCAGAACGCTGCACCAAGCTGGCTAAGGTACCAGGGTGCTTCACGCCATACAGAACGGGTCTGATCGACAGCTGGGAAAAACTAGACGTTCAACAGATATAACGTTGACAAAGTCACCCAAGACATAACATTAAGATCTACTGGTACCAGTAATTTAAATTTTATAGCAGATTTAGTCTTTGATTTAAAAAAAGAAACAAACAAACAAACAAACAATTTTTGATCGTAAGGAATTACAGATTTTGATAATATTCTATTCAAGGTTCGATTTCTGGTTATTATCAACAGTGAAATAAAGAGAGAAATTATTTTTGACGGAAAAAACAGCAACAACACCGACTGGTTTTCTAGTCGGCGGATCCAAAGTTCATCTTGGACGGATCTTACACCAACCCAAACATACAATCTTTTCTCTCTTCAAGGGATACAAGAGTACGTAATTAATGACTCTAGACATAAATGATATCAATAAATATAAAATTACTTGCATAGGCGTCGAAACCGAGGGGGGCTAAGCCCCCCCCCCCCACTTTTGAACCAACCAAAAAAAAGGTAAACACCAATTTTCAATGCCTATATTATGACATAATATAGGCATTGAAAATTGGTGTTTACCTTTTTTGGTTGGTTTAGCCACCCTTACCCCTACTTTCAATTAGCCCCCCCCCCCTTTTAATTTGCAATTTGCTTCCGACCCTATGACTTGAATTTGATCTAAAGGGATGATTTCTACAAAGATTATGAAATTTATACGAATATAGATCAAGCATTATTTATTTCAAATTAAGGTACAGAACTCAAAAACCATAAGACAGTTATACAGCAAACTGGATGAAGTAATAGTACCTGTCAGATTATATGAGTTGCATTTTTTGAGGCGCGATTCCAGAGTTTTTAGGGAAAAGTGCGAAAAATCAGTCCCATTTTAGGGATAGGAATTTTGAACATAGTTTGAAGAAGGGATTACTATTGGAATTTAGAGCTCACATTGTTCTGCCAATGAGATATCTCTACCTTTGGCTATAAAAAGAGAAATTAAAGTTAAGCTTTTTTATCTTTATTTTAGTGGCAGAGTGAACAGACACTGGTCAATTTCCCACAGTTTTGGGGGATGTCCGAACGACAGGGCCTGGTTCACCATCTCATTCTACCCTCCCACCGGATGTGACTTTGATAAACGAGAATCAGCGATGCCAAACTTCGTCGTCTGTCCCGGAACTACAATGTGCAATATGCAAAGAGGTAAGTATGGAATCTGGATAGGGCCACACATTTCACTATCGCATCATCGCACCATCGAGTTGAGTCGATATTGCGATGACACGATAATGCGATGACGAGGAAGCGATGGTGCGATAGAGATGAGGCGATGGTGCGATGAAGATGATACGATGGCGCGATAATTTGATGACGATGATGCGATAGTATGATGAAGGGATAGTGCGATGATGCGATAGTACGATGAAGCAATAGTGCGATAGCGATGACGATGGTGCAATATTCACTAATGCACCATCGTGCTATCACACCATCGCATTTGCATTATCGCGCAATAGCATCATCGTCATCGCGCCATTGCATTATCGCGCCATCGACTTTATAATTAAGGGTCCTCCACACCATGTGACCTGTGACGTATATAGAGAAAAAATACTTTTACTTCCGGTTTTATTGAGAATATACATGAACGAATTGTCCTACCACCGTTTGTAAACAATCAACACATGGCATGATCACGGAGTGACCGATGAAATGGATGTGCGGTATTTTTCTTTGATAAAAGAACAATAGACGTGTTGGATTATGTTAATAAAGATAATAATTCCTAGACAACAGGTACCGGTGGGTATAACGAGAAACGCATAGGTTATTTACACTTTCAGGCTAATCAATCGAGTCTGTTTCTGATAGTTGAACATGTTGAAATTTCGGCACATTAATTTGTACGTTTCAATAATACATTATCTCATTGTGTGTTTATAAATATTGATAAAATAGTGTGCGTTTCTAGTTTTTCCTCTATAATTTTTGTCCAGTTCAGTGGCCAGTATATTACTAAATATAGTATTGTGACGTAAGCGGAGACTTGCCAAACTTTTTGAGACCAGAACAACAGGAAAGATAATTCCAAAAAGGAACTTTGATGCCAGAGATTTTGAAAATGTTTTTTCTACATCAGTGCATTTAATTTTAATTCAATTTTTTGATGTTATCTAATTCATTAATCTTTCTACTCTACAACAGGAGTCCTTATTGATTTTTCTCGAGATGTATTTCAGAGAAAATGAGTATTATGTACTTTTATAAATAAAATAAATTTCTGTAAAAAATGTGATGATCGATAAAATTAAGTTTTCATGGTTATTTAATTTTTATCGATCATCACATTTTTTACAGAAATTTATTTTATTTATAAAAGTACATAAAACTCATTTTCTCTGAAATACATCTCGAGAAAAATCAATAAGGACTCCTGTTGTAGAGTAGAAAGATTAATGATATTTTGCACCTTATAAGAAATCCTTTTTGGAAAGATACATTGATTGCTTTTCAAGATATTCAAGATAAAATGAAGATAAAATCATGGCAAGAATTTATAGCTCAACCAATATGGTTTAATAAAAAAATTAAAATTGGAAAAAAGTCCATTTTCTATATTGAATGGTATAATAAGAATATTATATATATTAACGATTTGCTTGATGAGAATGGAGCATTCTTGAGTTTACAAGATCTCCAGAATAAGTTCAACATTAAAACTAATTTTCTTACATACTATAGTATACAAAATTCTATTACAACCAGTCTAAAAAGTGAGGATATTGTCAAAGAAAACAATAACCCTAGACCAATTATACCATTTTACATAAGATTATTTTGTTCATCCAAAAAAGGTACCAAAAATATGTATGACACACTAAATACAGAAGAAAATGTCACATCTTTTTACAAATCAAAATGGGGAAAATATTTCACTCTATCTAAGTTACAATGGAAAGCAATTTTTCAGTTACCTTTTATCAGTACTAAAAGTACAAAACTACAATGGTTACAATATAGAATTAACCATCAAATCTTAACCACTAATGTATTCATGTTTAAAGTGGGGATGAAAGATAGTAAAATGTGTAATTTCTGTAATTCAGCTGAAGAAACAATTTATCATATACTGTGGGAATGTCCCCTTGTTCAAGATCTTATCAATCTATTTTTTGAATTTTGTCAAACAAGGGATATTGTTATTCCAAGAGATCCTTGCTCTTTTATTTTGGGATTAGATCTTGACTCAAGTTGTAAGAATCTGTACCAGATATTCCTAATTCTCAAATCCTACATATACAAAAAGCGGTGTCTTAATGAAAAATTATCAATCCATGGACTATTTATAGATATCAAAACTCATCTTTCAACTTTAAAGTACATAGCTACCAAAAATTGTAATCTTGAAGATTTTCATAAAGATTGGGAAATTTGGCTTTTCATACTTAGAAGGCTCTGACTATTTTGCTCGATTTTTAGAATCACCAACAGTGATCAAATAAATGTTTATACAGACAAGGTTTTTTTTCCTAATTTGTTAATAAGCAGCTTCTCTTCCCTTTCTCTTCCCTTTCTCTCTTTTCTCTTCTTTCCCCTCAATCAGCAATCATAAGACTTATCCTTATTGTACTGTATATGCTGTTATAAAATAATTGCTGATTTGTACTTGCACTTATGAAATAAAAAAAAAAAAAAAAAAAAAAAGCACTTATTAAATAAAAAAAAAAAAAAAAAAAAAAAAAGTTTTCATGGTTATTTTGTGAGCTTAAAAATATACGATAGGGTAAGACAAAATTTTTTGTGCTAGGTATGGAAACGCCTCGGAAAAAATTTCTTGAAACTTGTGAAATAATTATTTTAAAAAATCAGTATAAATTACATTTTAATCCCTGGACAGTTTTTAAAGGTTGAAATGCTTGTTTAAAGTAAAGCTCTATAATATGAGAACATAAGCTGTGGGTGTGTGGAGGACCCTTAAAGTCGTAGCTGGATGGTGCGATAGTGTACTGCATGGTCCTATCCGGATTCCATAGGTAAGGGTTTTTAGCATTTGTTCTTTTCCATGTTCTTTTCTTACTTTTTCATTTTATTTATTTCATAATCAGCAGATATCCTATTACAATTTAACTTTTAACCAATGAGTGTAGACTCAATTAAAGAACTATACCGGTAGTACCCATATAGCTAAAAAGAATGAATGCCTGTAATAACAGTCACAAGTATGCATTTAATGGATATTTTATTGTACTTTTACATTATACATGTATTTATTTTAAAAATTGTTTCAATATACATATTGCTTCAATATTTTATCTTTACAGATTCAATCAATGCAGACGCATTTGCTATCCAGATTAAAGCTAGAAATAAGTTGCCGATGATGTAGTTGGAGTGAATCAAAGAAGAATAAAGACTTATCTAGTGACGGCTGTTTATATACCTGAAAGAAGAATGAATCATGTGAAAACATTTTGATACATAAAATACATGCATATGGTCGATATTAGCAAGTCTGTTTCTATAAGTTTTTAATATCTTGAAAAAATAAACATGTACCCAAAAGAAAAAAAAAGTTGATCTTTAAATACTTATGTGAAAAAATGTAATGTGTACAGTTCTTAAGAGCTCTTCTTAAGGTGTCTTATTCAACCTCTGGAATTTCAAGGGATGGAATTAACTGTTGTCAATTGATAAAAAGTCGTAAATATATCTAAATGTCGAACTGGTTGAAACAGCAAGTGTTTTCTTTTCTAATCGATTTTTTAAAATTCAACTTTAAAGGAATATAAATTTAAAACTAATCGGCTCTTAATGGAGCACAATAAGTGCCCATCGGTAGTCCAACAGTTTATTAGAAGACGTTGTCTCCAAGGACTAAATGTACACAATGTACACAATGCCCTAAGTGCTAACTGTTCATGGCCAAGGTTAAAGTTTTTAAAACTCAGAAACAAACTCTTAGGTCAAATACAAAAAAAAGTTTAAATGTTATGGCCAAGGTTAAAGTTTTTTTACAAGGTGGGCCAAACTTTAAGGTCAAGGTCAAAAAACATTTTACCTGTTGAAAGGTCCAATCACTATAAACACATGTGAAGTATGAAAGCCCAAGCACCAATTGCTCATGAGATATGGCCATATGCAAGGTTAAAGTTTGGGGGTTTTTTGGTTAAAGTGGGTCAAAATCTATGGTAAAAGTCAAGAGGTCAATTTGGTGGTACACAAAGAAAGGTCATGCCACAAGGAATACACCTGTGAAATAAATTAACAAACCCATATAGCCCCATCCAATAAATAATATGGGTAAAGTTAGTTTTTGTCTACAAAGACAAACAGATATACCACTGGATCTTGATTGCAGCAGTATAAAAATTAACAATAAACTTACAAGGTAATATGCATATTACAAGGACAATAGCTCTTGCTATCTCCTTTCATTTTAAATTAATTTACAAGTTATTTAAGAAATGAATTTAATTTTTGAAGATTCATGAGGTTATGAACTACGACGCTTCACGCCGGCATATTTCATGAAGCGCGTAATGATAAAAATGCCGGCGTGAAGCGTTGTAGTTCATATACCTCATGAATCTTCAGAAAATTAAATTCATTTCTTATATTTACATTATATTTCTGATGACTTGCCATAAAGAAGTCGGTTCACTTTATGCATAAAATGGCCCTGTAGATATATCAATTAATTGATCAACACTTGATTTTCTATTTAAAGCATTAAAATAAAATAGAGACTTGGTACTTTCATATCCTATTAAAAAATTCTCCACAAAGTCCAAGTCTAGGAGAGCTGGCTTTATGAAATTGCAATGTTCTTGAATTTTTAGAAAAACGGGTATAATTGAGTACTTTCATTGAAGAAAAATAATATGAGCGCACCCTCTGATCTAAAAAATAAAACATGTCCATGAATCCTAAGAAACAGTTCTATCATTTACTAGTTGTAAATTTTAGATCAGAGGTTGCGCTCTATATCAAATATCAAAAAATTACTTTAAAAATTTGCCGTTTTTGTAGACTTTTTCTGAAAATGAGGAAATTGACGCATTTCGTGACGTCATAATGCATTGACTAGCCGGAAAATGACGTCATTTTTTATAGGATCGTAGTCACCAAAGATCTAAGTGATATTATAATGCATTGTTTACTAAGACTATGCAGTTTCAGTTTTTCAGAAATTAACAGGGCCAAATAAGGCAAAAGTGAACCTTGTTCTTTACGCCGTTCAACTGTCATTTTTAAAACAAAACAGTATGCACTATATTTTTTGACTTTTTGACGTCAAGAGCGGTATTACATGACGTAACAATGGAGATATCCATGCTATTTTGTGATACATACCTAATGTAGTTCATGAGAAAATATACTGCATTTTATTTTGTAAAGAATCATAGGGAAAATTTATTGGAAATGTAAATATTTCCCTTTATACTTCACATGATTATCTAATAATAACCTGTTTCACTGGTGGATTTAGAGGGGGACCAGCCCCCCCCCCCCCCTTTCCATGTGTCAAAAATATGCGTAAGATTTTATAAATCTGTGGCTGTGGGCCCCTACCCTGACCCCAAACTGCCCCTAGAAGATTTTTGCCCAGTCACTGTGTATATGGATCGATGCAAACTCAAAAAAGCTGCATGAATATGTCTGGTATACTTTACATACATATATATACATACCAATAAACTGTCAGGTTTCAGGTTTGTCAGGATGGTTCTAATATGGCAGACTTCATAATAGATACAGTAAGCTTAACATATACACTGATTAGAGCTTTCGTCAAAGAAACCTGTCTTTTTATGAACAAAGGCAGTTCACCTATACCGGAAAAAATTCTAAAGTAAGCCCATTGGTTCTTCAAAGCACATCACATGTATCACATGCCTGAATAGGTAAAATAGCCATTGGCATTATATACCGATTGGAAGAGTAATGATCACTCACTAGTACATTCAAGAGAATAGGGCAAAACAGTGGATTTAGAGAAGGCCTAGCTGCAGATCTGTAGCTCTCCGAAAAAATATATATTGATAGACCGGAGTATCAATATATATTTTTTTCGCAGAGCTACAGATCTGCAGCTAGAGAAGGCCAAGCCCTCCCACCATTTTTTGTGTCCAAAATATACAAAAGATTTATTTATTTTTTTTTTTTGGTGTGTCTGTGCGCCCCTCCTCCGATCTCAACCCCCGCCCCCTTTACAATAGAATTTATTTCCAAATCAGGGCCTAAACATATACACTGTAATAGGGATGTAACAATGTATCGATATATCGATAAGTATCTATATTCGAGTATCATATCGAATCGAAAAATAACTTCCAAAACGTATCGGGCATGCATTTTCTTCTAATTCTGTGAAAAAAGATGGGAATTTTCATCACTAAACATTATATTTAACTTTTTGAAATTAAAACTGACAAATGAAATATTATCATTAAGGACATAGCACATTTGACCAATATTTCAAAATTAACATCACTAACCCCAACTTTTTCTTTTGTTATTTTAAAGAACTCGATACTTTTGACTGATCAACATTTAAGCCATAAAAAAGTTTGATACAAGAAAATATTTTATTGCTTATTTAGATTTCTAATACTACGTACCCCAAATATGTTACTTTTTAGTGCAAAAAGGTCACACAATAATTTACGCGCATTAATTTGCAAGATTTGTTCAATGATAAATATTATTCAAACTATTTTACGTAAAATAAGATTATATCTTTTGCCATCGTTACATCTTATAAAATATGATATATACGTTAAAGCAATTAACCAAAGAGTTAAAATTTAAGTGCAAAAAGGTCAAATTAATTGTACCGTAGCTCAGTAAGATGCACACCGACCCCCTACTTTATCTGCGCTTTTGAGTCATACTATATGAATACTTATCCAAAATAAACTTCTCAAAACATACTTGATTTAAAAAACTTCACGAGTGACATACCTTAATTTCAAGCTTTCATCCGAACAAAAACAAACAAAATAGAATTAAAAGTAATTGTTATCAGAGTATAGTTTTAGGCATCTTTATAATCACTTCATTTAAAAAAAATACCTTGTATTTTAAAACCCATACGCACTTTTAGGCAATCGTTTTATGCTTTCGAAAATCAAAAATGTCGCCCGCGTGGCACAGTGGTAGAGTCTCGGAGTAAGAATTTGATTCGTACGTCACGGGTTTGAATCCTACCGTGGTACATGAGGACCGGTCCTTCGGATGAGACCATATAAACCAAGGTCCCGTGTCGCAGTAAGTCCTGGCACGAAAAAGATCTCTTACTGCCCAATGGCCGTAAGTGCCAGGCACGTAGCAACAAGGGGGGGGGGGCAGTGGGGAGGCTTGCCCCCCCCAATTTTTGCTTAAGTAAAGTAATATCAGGGTAATATCGTAGTGTATGCAAAAACTTGGTACTGAAAGAAGTTGGTCTTGGAAAAAGTTGGCCTTTACCCCCTCCCCCTCCCCCCACACACACGAAATAGGATTTTCGAGTTTCCTGATGGGAAAATTCTAGTTTTAATCAGTTTGATGAACCCAAAAGATAACAAATCGAAATCAAATTCATAAATCCCATCCACAACACAAATCCAGAATATGGCAAAAAGCAGGATGTCCTTATTAAATTGAAATTCCACAGGTACAGGATCAGGTTTATAGGTATAGGATCAGGTACCATAGAAAGATTGTTTCCCTTGAGATCTGTCAAAACTGCCAGTTTTCTGATAGTAGTACCGTAGTACGCGGATCGAGTGATGGAAAGAAAATATAGTACCCGATATAGTCAGAAAAATAGAATAAAACAACGCAGTTGAACAGTTTATATTTCTAATATAAACATTCAAATGTGGCAAAGTATTAAAGCTTTGTATGGAAGATTGTAAAAAAAAAATATTTCTTTTCAAGAGGAATATTTGATTTGAGAAAAAGATATGTGACGGATAACGTGTGTACACAGTAAAAATTATCACACTACTGAGTTCTGTGAGTCGAAGTAATATTGAAGTACAATTACAGTTAGTGTTGTTTTCATACATACATACATGTATACTCACTGTACAAGTACTGTACTTGTTCTTAATATACATCATTGTGTTAGATCGTCAGTCATTCCCGAATGCAAATTTAGGTCAAAACAATTGACAAGAATATAGATGTACCAGTAGACTGAAAATGCATCTACTTGTAATTATATTGAGCGTAATGGAAACATGTTCATGTATATTTCGAAATACAATCATGTAGTTACACCATATTTACATCATTTCAGTTTTTAGTCTCG